CCCTTACATTTACATGTCTTTCATTTATTTAGCAGTTAGCACTTTCTAAAATAGCTCTTTTTTTTTTTTTAAAACAGCGAAAGGAGATTTAGGTCTCTTAAAGCAATCTGACTACCATTACTCATTTTCTTTATCAGGAATATTACTGCACACCCTTAATAGGGAACCTTGTTTTGCTACTCCCCGTCTGTTCAAAACAGACCTTAGCCCATTAGAAGGTCCTCCCTTGTGTGGGAAGACCACAGCTGTTACTGTAAATCTCATCCAGTAACTGTATCACCCCCATTTTGTGGCTCTGAAGGATGAAATTGAGAAATGGAATACTGTGCAGTCATCCTTTACGTCTCCAATTTTAGGCCTTTGCACATCATTTTCATGCTTTTATTCCAAATCAAACAACATTAGTGAGCAACACCACCCTGTGCTAAATGCCTAGCGTCTAAGGCAGTACCTACGATCTTTGTTTTTGGAGGATTTAGGATTCGGAGGGAAGTTAGGCTTTTGTTGATGGTGCATTTTTTTATTTTCTTTTTTTTATTCCCTCTTTTCCCTCCCTCCCCCCCACCAGATCTTTCCCAATCCCCAGAATTTGTCGGAAGCAGAAATTCAGGCAGTAGCGAGGTGCCTAAGATGGAGGATGCTCTGTTATGCTTCCACAGAGGAAGCGAGAGCTCAGCACGGTTAACAAACAGAACTTTAAAAAGGTTTCTGTTTCTTTAAATCCTTCTGAATGAAGTGGATCTAACTTCTTATGAAGGATATTGGGGGCTTTAATCAGAAATAAGAAGTGGTTTAAATCATTAGCACAACAAAGCAAACTATAAGCTTGGAGATAAAAAACTCTGAAAATAAATGGGACTTGATAGATTTCCATATCATTTATAACTTCCCTTAATTACACTTGGAAGACTTGCCAGTAAAACTGGAAAATTGGCAGCCTATATCCATTATAGTAATTTTGCCGACCATGGCAAGCAGCTGGCTTTACTGGATTTTATTTCCCATCACTCACAATTAATCATCAGCTGGAGATGTCTGAAACTCCTCAAAACGTAGCAATACTGTGTGACATTCAGGCCTCCTTAAAATGCTAAAATCTGCTGAGTAAATGGGCCGAGTTCCCCTTCCAGCGAACTCATTTTGGTGCGAGGCAGGCTGCCGCTTAATGAGTGCCACTTCGATAATCGGATGCGAATGTGAACCCTGACCTCGTGTCAAAGGAGAGGACGCAGGAAGCTGGATAAAAGATAGGGGATTCAGATCTGCAAACTTTACACCAATTAGACAGGGAGCGGGGAAATACATCAGTGCCGACTGGGTTTATCAGAAAGACTTGTGGGGCTTGTGACCATTTTGTAAGCCTAACATTGAAGACGTCCTGTCACAATCATTAAGTCTTTTATCAGGTGACGCACAAAAGTCTGAGGAAAGTGTACCGTATTCACAAAGATCCCGTGGCAGCAATGCCCTCGGATCTGCGCTGTCTTTTTGTGTCTCTGGGTTTTGAAGAGGCCTATCTGTAAGTGCAATTAGTCTTTATGGCCCTCCATAGGTGCAATGAAAACGGCTCGGTGTTGCTGCTTCTCACATTCTGCTTCCACCCCGTGTCGTGAGTTGCTGGGTGGGAAATGGCTGGAGACAGTTCCCTGTCCTGAGTGTAACCTTTTGGCCAGAGGAGATAACAACCACCATGCAGTCCCCAAGTTATTCAAACAGTGCTATTGACTGTTCCCAAATTCACACCACAATTGTTGGCAACATCGAGATGTTAAGTACCCTCCTCTTCTATGATTTTTTTCTTCTTTTTTTTCTTTTTCCTTTTCACTCTGTGGAGAACAATACTGAACAGCTACTTTGAACTGCGCCATGCAGAAATAAACTACTAAAATACAGACTGCAGGTCTAACAGTTAATCACTCATTTATTTTGATATTCCAAGCAACATAAAGGTAGATTTGGCTCTAGCGTAACTCTGTGAGAAAGATACCCGAGTTTAATTTCTTTTAAGAAAAGGAGCCCTTTTATTTTACTTGGTTCAAATCAATCAGATTTTTTGTTTGATTTTATTTGCCTGTTTTGACAGATTTGGGTCATCACTGAGACCTCTCTAAATTGAAATGTAAAGATGGTGGTTTACATTGGTTTACCATCCACTGAAAGAAATAAATTATATGATGAAAATGCAACATTAAAAATGGTCCAGATAAATCCTTAAATAAGTTAGAAAGCAAGAACTTGTACACATCGCTGCGGTTTTCATTTGCAGGCTAAATAACAGCAAAAGGATATGTGCAATTAGGGAATGAAAGAAATTGGACAATGCCCAAAACACTGAAAAAGAGAAGAGAGAGATACAAGTGCCTAATTTTAGGATTTGTTGCTTTGCAACACAATGAGTGGAGCTGTAAAGGTTTAACATAAGAACAGTAATTAAACTTCGGTGCTTAAGTGACACTTTCACCAAGGTAATTTTCAACAAATTGCACATCATCAGAAGTACTGACACAGCATTTTCACACATGGTACGTGCTGCAAGTGCCTCCTTCCTTCCCAGCTAGTAAGACTAGATGTTAACTGGATACTTTGTCTATATATTTTGTGGATTGGGTGGGTTATTTCTTTCCCAGACACCGCTTCCTTTGTCATCAACCCAGCAGGTATTATAGAAAACACAAAAACTTTATTTTTTGAGAAAGGGGAAAAACTGAGGAGAAATTCACATTGATGGACATTTCCATCCCACAATCACTAATACTTCCTGGCATTTTAGCGCTGTACTTAAGATCTACAGAGACAATTCTGTACTTTTCCAGTAGATGTATTCCCAGAACTCTGTTTAGATAATTGCTAACTGGTTCATTTGTACGCCATCCACCTGATGAAGCCATGTTACGGTTGAATCGCACTGGGGCTCAAGAGAAGAGTTTCTTGTGCCCTTGAAATTAGGCCACTCAGTTCAGTTCTGCACTCCTTAGCATCTCAGTCTTCAGCAACCTTTAGAGGCTTATGTTCTTGGCGCTCTGATAGCTGAGTTTAGCCAGAGGGTGGCAAATTTGTTTCTGAAATATGCTATAAAAAAAAAAACCTCCAACAAACATTCTTGCCCTTTTTTTTTTTTAAACAGAAGTAGATATTCATAGCTTCCTCTTAACCTCAGAAATGTCTGGAAGGTTCAGAGCAGATGGAAGAAAACCTGAGCAGTGAGATAGGGAGAAGAAGAGGAAAAGAAGCAAGCAAGGGAAGAAAGAGCTGCTGGGACAAGGCTACAGGCAGAGCAGCAGGTGTGGAAGGAAGGAGACAAAAGACAGAAAGGGAATAGAGGGGAAATAACTGGAGACAAAGAACAAGTCTTTGATACTATTCACCGAATTTGACACTGCTAATGACTTAAATGCTCGCCTGAAGCTCAGGATGGAATTTCTGCAGGTGAAGTGTTGGGTGTTGGTTATTCTCTGTATCCAGTTAGTACACCATGTTCCCATAGCAAATGTTTTCCTTATTTACCCCAAAAAGCCCATCATATTGCTGTTGGCAGTCAGTTGAAGAAAAGGTGTGTAAGCACCTTTTAATGTAACGTCTTTTCTTCTGTCTTGCTCAGAATCCATAGGCAGACATCAATGCTTTTCAGTCATTGCTAGTGCATGCTTTAGGAAAAAGCTTTATTTAAATTTTCAGAACGTACTTCATGCAACGTGCATTTGATCTCTGACTTCACACCTGTCTGTTAGACAGTATATTCCTCCAAAATGGTACACACTTGTCCTTAAACATGCATGTATATATGTATGTATATAAACAAACACATTTTGAGGGCACTGGCACATATAACAACACATAAACCAGATCTCTGCGGGTCTCAAATTACCCTCTTTTATGAAATTTTGACATCAGAGTGAAAGCATCCCAAATTTGCTGGGATAATGAGTGAATGGCAGACTACATCTGCAAAAGAGCCTAATGAAAAGACTTGCAGCGGGCACTCAGAGCCAGGCATCCCAGAGGGCTGTACCTGCACAAGTCCTAAATACTGGCATGTAGGGCCTAGCGCCCTTCCCTCTCCGGCATAAATCGTCTTCATGGGATGACCGGCTGCTCGCTGGGTTACATGAGGGATAAATTCTGAATCCCGTGTTTTCCCCCTCATGTATAGACAGCCCCCCCGACCACTGTAAAGCCTCGAGCGGCTGTTTCCTCTGCAGTGTGGTCCAAGGCGTCAGAGGGAGGATCTGACTGGGAGGCACAGGGAGCCCAGCAGAGCAGCCCAGTGGGTTACTGGTGACACTGAGCTTGTGCATGGCTGTTAGCGGAGTGCAAACAAGCAGAAGGAGGAAACTTGAATGTTTCCCTTTAAGAGCTATCAGCTGTGGTGAAAATGATGGTTTTGCCTCTGCGATGCCTCCCTTGCGGATGAGAGGTGGTTCCTCGCAGGCGTGCTCCCTTCCGTCAGTCCGAAGTCATCAGCCGCCATCCAGATGCTGCCATGTGCGGAGGTGTGATGTTCTGCTCAGCGTTAGCCCGTTGGGTATTGCCGGAGCTTCCAGCCCGTGCTCCCCCGGATGCGTGCCAGGAAACTTTTGGCTTCTGAATCAGGATTAGTATCCGCAGGATCTGCACCAGGGAAGCAAAGCAAAGGCTCCCGGGCCAAAACTTCACAAATTAAATTTTGCTCTGGATTTAATTGATATCGAACCGTGGTGGATGTGAAATGTGAACTGTAGATGTTGGAGCTGAGTGGATGGGATGGGAGAGGAGCCTTGTCTGGGGTGATAGTTTTAAGTAGGTGGTTCCTTTTTTCCTATTTTGATGCCAGTTTTGTCAAAAGCAACTGCTATTTGTGATTGTGGTTTGTGTCGTGACTGTGTAGCTGGCTGACTTGACTTGTGCCATGAAAGTCCTTATAGCATTTAATGAAATAATCCCTTTATTTTCCAGAAGAATCATACACACTTAGAGCATTTCAAATCCTCTATCCTCATTTTGTACTGCTTTAATTTTACCAGGTTTCGGAAGGTCAAGAGATTTGTGTAATTGAAGCAATGAAAATGCAGAACAGTATGATTGCTGCTAAAACAGGCAAGGTAAGCTACCTTGGGTCACTTAAAACCATATGCAACTTGTCAAATAGGATAGAATTTAAAAAGGAAAAAAGGAGGATTCTGGTTGTTAAGGAATTAAGTCTGATTGTTGTAAGTCTTTCGAAGTGAGGTGTCTTTAATTTTTAACATTTGCATCTGCTGTGAATGCTGTTAAGTAGTTCCGAGCCTTAGATAGCACAGCAGGAAATAGCTTTATTGGCTTCAGAAATTCATATAACTCTTTTTCTCCTAAATGATTTGTTTTCTATGATGTTAGAATGCCAAGCTGAATTGAAAGGTGTTGCAGACCGTTTCTCCAAATTCCGTCTTTCCAGAGAGCAACTGAAGAAGAGAGATCTCTTTGCCAGTTAATTCATTAATGGCAAACAATTTGACATTAAAAAAACACTCAGAACTAGGCATAGAAAGTGCTTTTGCAGGAAGATGAGAAAAGCAATTTTTTTATTATTGTGACTGTTAAATATGAAGCCTAGATCTGCAAATGTGTTAAGCTTTGCAAGGCTGTGCATTGCGGTATCTTGCTTCTAGGGGGATCAGCATTGCAGCCCCCGAGCTGGGACTCTCCTCCTGCAGGATGTACCAAAACCAGTGCTCTGGGCAGGGAACTGGTTAAACTTATATGACAAGGGCATGCCTTAAACCCCATCTGGTCTGGAGACTGTCAGCCCCTAAATCAGGGCCTCGGAGCATCCCTGTGCCAGATTGTAATTCACAGCCCGAAACCATCACCTAAACACAGGCTCCTGATCCATCCTTTTCAAGGGGAGAGCAGAGTCACTCTTGGGGAGTCACTGGTCAGAGTTCTTACCAAAGACCTGGATTATATATTCTCCTCTATCTCGTATTTCCTAGCACGTCCTAGCCCTTCTCTGCCTGGGGACAAGCCCCTCTGCGCTCCCTGAAGCACTGCCATTTTGTTATTAAAAACAGCAAACCCAAACCCAATGCAAGATTCCTTAGCCCAGAGGGAGGCAGCAAGGAGCCTGGCTCTCCAGGGCAGGGAGGAGGTTAGGCACTGGCAAGGCTGGCAGAGATCTCAAGATGAGTCCCTATGCCAAGGACTGTTTGTGTGTTTACAAGAAAGGCTTATTTGGCACAGCACTAAAATCGTCACTGAGGCTGGGACCCAGGGCTTGCCTCTTCCAGTGCATCTAGTGCAAAACTGGGTCTCGAGGAAAAAAAATTGCAGAGGGGGAGAACGTACCTTCTCCTGTTGCTCTAACGTTGCCACTTTGTTATTTTATTTCATGCATTAATTCCTATATAATTTATTTTCTCACTTGATTAATATTTCCCAGCATTTAGTTTTTCATCTTTGCTTCTTTTGTTTAACTCCTTATTACTGTTCTTTGCATCCACTGTTTCTAACTAGTGAGTATTTGTGATTAAAATGCCATTCCCTCTCCCACCCACCCCCTTTTATTTTTTACTTTAACCTTCACTTTCCCACCAAGGTGTGCTGCAACCCATGGGCATGTGTCTTAAAATCCTGCTTGTACTTCTGCCAGTAATAAATATCTCCCACTCACTCTGTACAGATGCCACGTAAAACCCACGTTTGGCTTATTAATCCTTCAAAGTGGGATTTGAATGGTGCACAGGCTATTCAGTGGACCCGATGTGCACCTTGCAATGTCCCCTTGGCATCTCCATTTTAATAATAAGCAAATTATTTGATTCTTTAGAATTTTAAGAATTTGAGAAAGCAAAAAAGTTTTGGGCTGTGTAGAAATGAAGCTGCTTAACAGAATCCATCCCGTTCTGCAGTGCAAAGTCATGGCTCTGAGTGCTAAAATAACTTGGCCCCTCCACAGGATGTTTGGCACTGGCTGTTAGTCCACGTTTTGATACTTTGAAACCGTGTTTTTAAACTCTGTTCGTTTGTCTTCAGCTGGAAGACGTTCCCATTGTCATTCCCGGGTGAATTCCTTTTGTGCATCAAACCCCATCTTCCTGTTTGTAATTGCGAGAAAAGTGGCTTGTTTTTATCTACTTTGGGTTCACTCCAGCTGCAGGTGGTTTAAAAATGAGGGAAGGATGGGGAGGAACTGGCGTGCCTCCTGTCTCCTACGGGACAGCTGCGCGTGGGTCAGGACGAGGAGCTGGCCCCGCTGCATGTCAAAAATCACTGGGGAGTTTGAAACGCTCGTCAGCTACAATGTTTGCTGAACCTTGGCTTTGTAGAAAAAGAAAAGAAAGAAGTGGAATATTTTTCACACTGCTTTCATCTCTTAAAAGATTGAGACTCGGGAATCGGGTAGGCTGCCTAGCTATTGATTTAGAAATAAAGCTCTTTTTTGTACATCTCACGGTGTCTTTGCCCGTGTACAGTGTTCAGCTTCATTTCTGGGGCAACGCAGTGAATACGCCTGTGCTACAGAGCCAGAGGTACGCTTGCAGCTCATGTGGCTTTAGACTATCGAACTCGGATGCGGGCAATAGCGTAGCCATTGTAGCCTGGTATTTCGGGTATGCTGCAGGTTTCCTTTAGGAGCCCAAGGTAACGTTTGGGTGACTAAACTGAGCTAACTGCTGAACAAGATTTTGACCAAGGATTTGGCATGTCAGTGTGAGCTCTGAATTAATATTGCAAGCAAACTATAATATATAGCTTCAAGTATTTTCTGGAGCTCCATATGCTGAAAGGGAATTCAAACAAGTTACAGGCTTTTACAGAGGAAATCAGAGACTAGTATAAGATGTTTGTGTTTTAAAATTCAGGAATCTGCACGTGACTATGTAATTCATCTACAGATGTAGTTGCATTTATTTGACAGCGGTAGCCTTTTGCCAAGTTCAGTTATGTTAAAGGATCCAAATTCACATTTGAATCCATCGATCTCAGCTGTCTGGGGATTAAGGGAAACCCACTTCATGGCTGCAGTCCCAAAATTCAGTTATACTTAAAATCTATAACGCAAAAGATACTGGAGTATTTCATTGAAACGTCCAAGCGTGAGTGTTGAAGAGTCAGCCTGTGGTCTAAAAGATTTAAAAATTTAGTAGTAAATTAACAGCAGTGCAAACAGGTGGAAGAAAGGTGTTTTTTAGTTTTTAGAAGTGCCCTCTTGATCTGATGTTGAGATCTTCAAGCACCTAAGTAATAAAAAAACCAGCAAGTGGTAGGTGCTTAAATACCTTGATGGACTTGGACATGCTTTGGTCAAGCACTGGAGCAGGCTGCCCACAGGTTGTGGAGTCTCCATCCTCAGCGATACTCAAAACTTAGCTGGACTCTTGAGTTTTGGAGGTCGAGCTGGCAACCTCTCAAGGCCCTTCCAACATACACGCGCCTGTGGTCCCCGTGGTGGTCATAATGTTGTGTGGTGGCCATTTACCCTGTGCTTGCAGATGTGATACTCCATGTAAGCAATGTCAACCAAGCCATTTATTTAACCTTGCTATTGAGGAAGATATGAAATTATTTCTGTTTCTGTACTGTAGGTGAAAGCTGTGCACTGCAAAGCTGGTGATACCGTTGGAGAAGGAGATCTGCTGGTGGAACTGGAATGAAAGGTTGCCTCCACACTGTTGAATTAGCTAAGCCTTTATTATTTCCATCCATAAAGTAAAATTAAGGCAATTCAACACAGAAGACGGGCAGTCCTATGTGCAAGATTTTATACAGTCATATTTATTGTATCAGTGGTTAAGACAGCAAACACAGATGTTAAACCTTGGCAACAGATCCCAGATTTTTACTTCCAGAAATACTTGTACATAACCTTTGTAATTCTTTGATTTTTCAGGATCAAATAAAATCAATAAAGTACCATTGCTGCTTTAAAACAGGAAAAGCCTCTTTTTTTAAAAAAGAAAACAAAAGCCCAAATCCGATTCATCTTCTCCATGGTAATATCACTGGTTTGAGGCCCCAGCCAAATTGTACGGAGTGGTTGGTAAGAGTGAAAAATTAACCACTGAGTGGTTAACCGAGCAGTTTTCCTACACTCTGTGTAACCGCTGAACAACTACTGCCGATGGCTTAAATTCCGATCAGATTTATTGTAATATTTTGAAGCGTTTGTAACAGGTTAGGTGTTTTATTTTGCTAGTACAGACTTTCCCCATGTATTTTTGCTAGTACAGACTTTCCCCATGTATTTTCATTGACAGTTTTAAGGGAATTTTCTTCTTTTATTCAGAATCCATACTCAAATTTCCCCCTCTTTATCTTCCTTCAGTTGATTACTGGACGCAAGTCCTTACAGAAGGAGCTGGCACTGTCCCTGAAGCCCCTTAGCCGCCCCAAGGTATTGCTAGAGGCACTTGCTGTCCCTCAGGCCAAGCCTTCTCCTGAACTCTTACAGGAAAGGGAGACCCAAGTGTCTGATCTTTTGTGGTGCAGAGGCTCTTACTAAAGACGGTGTGAAGAACTAGGACTGTTCATAATACGTAAGCGTATCCTGCCGGACGGGCTGCGTATCCCGTGTGGGAAACCAGAGAGGGCCTGGAGCGGAGAAGATTGAAGAGACTTGAATGGAAGTGCAAGGGCTGGTGACTTCGTCAGAACAAGTAAGAGGGTGTATTTTTTTCCCTCCTCACTCAGGAACCCTATGCCACAGGATGGTGAAGATACCAGAAGTTTACTGCGTTCAAAATGTTAGTGTGTAGTTAAAAGAGGCTCCCTTTTCCATTAATTGATCTAGCTCAGTAAGTCAGCAGCTGCAGCTCACTAGATACAGCGATACCTCCGCAGTCCCTGCACGCTGTGTCATCCCTGTCCCTATGCTCTTGCCTCGGCCTCCGCTGCTGCCAGGCTGGGCCAGGGCGCTGGGCTACTCCTGCCTTTCGTCTCACCTCCTACTGCTGTTTTTTTTTATATACCTCCAAGTTGCTGTTCCTGCTCTGCCTTGACTGCCGCCCCAGAGAGGAGGGGGCCTGCTCTCATCTTCTTGCCTGGGATGTGCGGAGTCATGCTCCTTCCCAGAAAAACCCCTCTGGCCAGAGCCGCCTGGGCCCTTTACCGGAGGGTGAAGGATGAAAACAGTCTGTGACAGGGCTGGTGACTCATGTTCAACCAGAAAGGTTCATGAGTCTGCTTGAAACTTCTCACTGAAGAGGCATTTTTCATGTTACTGAGACGCTGCCAACTACATCACGTGGGCAAGGGGGAATAATGTAGTACCGGGACCTGCTTTGTTAATTAGTTACAAAACCCATCAAGATGAGTAAGGAGTGTGTTCGGTGGTCCCTGCCCTCCAGGAAAATTAATGCTTTTGGAATTGGAGAAACTGAGGCAGACACCCTGCAGATCTTCCTACAAATCTCCTGCAAGCCATCTTGCCCCTTCCAAAAGGAGCACAGTTCAGCTTCTGGAGGTCGCCCTAAACTAAGGGGGCGGGGGGGAAGTATTGTAAAGAGACAAGACATGACTATTTTACTTTAGAATTACTTAATTTGCCTACTGCAGCAACACAAGCTTTCTGTCTGTTTTTCTAAATGAGATGCAGCAGTGTCTTCCTGATAAAGTTTAGGTTGATTCCTTACCCTGGATCCCTGGGCTGATTCTCTACCCCGGATCTCCTCCGGCCATCACAGGGCTACTGGCAGTGAAGCAAAGTACAACATTGTTCTTAATGGTATCCTTACTGCATTTAATCGTACTTTGGCTCAAGGCACGACATATGTTCCCTGCTCACATCCCTTTGGCAGCTTTGTATACTGTACAATCTATATGTACCAAACGCTGCAGTTGAAGGAAAATATAAGGCACAGTAGCGTAACAGAAGAAAGCCGCAATTTTTCCCAGATTGTACAGAAACCAGCACAGTTGGTTGGGTCAGGGGGACAATAGTCTTCTTCCCATCTTTTTTTTTTTTTTCTTTTTTCCTTTCCCAGTTTGAATGTTGCAATAATCACAATAAAGGTCCTCTGGTTATTTTTGTAATGTATATAAAATCTCCCCCTCCCCGATAGGAAATTTAGTTTGCATATAGTTGCAAGTTCTGCATTGAAGTGCTTGGCTAAAAATCGCCTTGATAGTAAGCGCTCACAGCTGCATCTGCTGTAGCGTGGTGGGCAGCTGAAACCAGGTTTGCTTTTCCTGGTCCCCAACATTCCCCCAGCCCCGCAATCCCACAGTCACTCAGTGAACTGAAGTGGTACCTAAAGTGCTTGGAATGCTAAATTAAAAATACCATTTTAAATGTAATTCTCTAGCTCTTTTAGTATTTCTTCACAGTACCTTATAAAACATGTTTTAAAAATACTCTTTTCCAGTTCAGGAAAACACTGCAACACAGAGCAAGAGTAGTCTTTAAATTTTATCTATTTCTCCAGCAATTTAATATTTGTCTTGAAGCGCATAGTATTTATATGGTCATCTCTCCCTGTTTACATTCAGTAACCTACTAAACCATTACAAGTCAGTATTAAACGCGAGTTGTGCTTTACTTTGTTTGCAGACTTTTTTTTTTTTTTAACGACTTTCAGCTATTAGTGTAATAGTATCATTATTATTCCACCCACCTTGGAAAACTACACAAGAAAATTTGTCAATTCAGGTAAAAAAGACAATTAGTCTGTTCCTCTGCCTTTCACTGACCTCAGTCATGCGCTGAGGCAAAGGGCGGGGATGGAGAAAATAACTAGTCCCCAAAACCGAGGTGCAGAGATCAGTTATTTTACGCCTCATGCGAACCCAGTTACTCGCAGCAGGTTAGCGGGGGCGAGGAGGACACTGACTAGCCGGGGATGAGTCCCCATCTCTGGGCCTACGGGACTTCAACACTAGCGCCAAGGCTCCCGGGTTGGGAAGGTTACAGGAGATCCTCTGTTTTAATAGGAAGGTGTTACAGCTTTCCTGGAAAGGTTACCGATCGACACGTGCTTAGTACTACGACTTCGGCCGGGCTGCGTTCTCTCCCGTTTCTAATCCCGGCTTTCGCGTAGGACGTAGGAGAGGCCGTGTTTCCCCGAGGAGTCGTAACTGTCATGGTAGGGGAGGCCGACCCACTCGGGCGGGTACGTCGTCGTGCTGTACACGAAGCACTCCATGACGCCCTCGGCTGCTGCCCGCGCCTCGCCCGCGCCGCCCTTCCCTTCCCACTCCACCACCTCGATTCTCATCAGGGTACGCTGGTACGTGTCTGGGCAGCCTTCAAACTCATCCAGGAACTGCAGCATCTGGTCGTCAACCGAGTAAATCTCCCCAGCAACGTGGTGTCCTGTTCCCGGGATGTTCAGCATGTAAGGAATGTTGTATTTTCCTGCAATCACCAGCGGGTACTTCTCCACCGTGCGGCCCCTTCCTTGGAATTTCGCTAGCCCCTTGGCAGTGTTGATCATGTGCTTGTAGTTGGGCTGGCCCTTCTTAAGCGTGCCGTAGACGAAGACACGAGCCATCGTACCTGCAAAAGCAGCTGAAAGACAAAGGCATACGTTACCCACGTGGCTGCTTTGCCCAATGGTCTGGAGAACCGCACCCGTACCAAGACGCGTTGTACACGCAAGACTCTTCAGGTGTGTGCAAAAATGGTCTCATAGTCCTACATCTCGTTTAAACATCATACTAAATTCAAATATCTCTTTAAACTTTTCAGTCATAAACTGCAACAGCGAAAAACGGACACCAGGAGAAAGTCACCCTTGCAGTTCTTTGTTGTAATCAAACTACATCCCATGGTTTCTCTAAGGAATCCACAACATCGACCAACGCATCCCTGAGCCTCGGGAAAAGCGCCGAGCCTTTCTTCATTTATTTTTTTTCTCTCTCACACTGATGGAAACAAGCTCCACTTAGCACATCCTTTATGGGGTGGGGGCGGGGAACCCAACCAAAAAACCCCAACCAAATCATGGTTCAGCTCAGCTACCAGACACCTTGCTATGTTGCTCCACTGTATTTATTAGCCCAGGTCAAATCTGATTATTAAAACATGCAGGAGTGAAGCCACAGTTAGTTTGTTTTCCCTTGTTGAGGTGTGGTGGTGTTTTTTAAAGCCTGGACTGGTGGACTTCGTCACACACTACCTGGAAAAAAGGAAAAGAAAAGCAAGCAGCATGATGCTCGTAGCTGCAGCAAGCTAATGACGTACAAACTGTGACATCACACATCACCGAGACGAAGAGAGGACCTGTCTGTCACGAAGAGGGATGAAAAGCTTTTCACGCCAGATCTTACAAGCAAAGTGAGGCACGTCAGCGGGGCAAGTTTAACCTGGCGTTGAGTCATTTCACGGCCATGCAGAAGGATTTTCGGTAACCCCAGCGCTGAGGTCCCGCTTGCTGACTGACTGACAAGTGCTGACGAGCAAGCTGTGGCTCCGGGGAGAGACCACGTCCCAAGCGCGTCTGTCCTGCTCCTTCAGGGGAGGGGAACGACAACGGCTCTCCTTGGTGCTGCCGATAAATCTTAGGTGAGAAACCTCATTTGCGGAGCTGGTAAGGCCAGGCACTGTGGTCTTCACAAGCCCCTTCACCCTTCCTGTCCAAGGGAGCCGTACAAATGTTATTTCCATTTATTTACCTTGGAGGTGGGTGGAGGCAGGGGAAAGTGGTATTTCAGTGCTAACAAAACTGGCAGAAAGGCCAGGTAACACCATGCTCCTATCTTTCCCAAATACCCAAAAGTGCTAAGCCACCTCTGCCTGAAGTAGCCCATTTGCAGATGTGCTAGCCATCTCTTGAAAACAGACCCTGAACGATGTTGTTCAACATTTATCTGTAAGCATAAAACACTCAAAATTGGTTTAAATGGGATAAAAGGCTGGCTTTACTGAAAGGTAAGGGGAAAAAAGGTACCTTCATAGTTCCTGGGTTATTTTTCATGCTGTGCCCCATT